CAGTCTCTGCCCGACGCTGTCTATTGGACCTGATTTCTGCCGGTGATGGTGACCGGTTATCCACTTTCAGAATTCAGGAATTTTTCGGAATATTGAATTTTTTAAAAAGTCAAAATGATGGGAAATGCCATAAAACGAAAATTACTAAAAAAAAATCGAAATTTAGTATATTATTTTGAATTTGAATTTTTTGAAAAAATTTAGTGTCGTGCGCTTTTTGAACATTTTCCTAATTTTTTTTATTTTTCGAATTGTTTTTCAAACGTCTCCGATCGCGGTATCTGACGGATCATGTCTCTGCCGGACACTGACGGACATAATCTCTCCGACACTGTGTCTGCCGCACACCGTTTCTGCCGGTGAGAGTGAGTGGTGGATTGACTTTAAAAATTCGAGGATTTTTTAAATATTTAAATTTTGTCAAAATGTTGGGAAATGTCATAAAAAGTAAAACAACTAAAAAAATTGAAAATATTTTTTGTGGTTGAAATTTTTCAATTTATTTTTAGTATTGTGCGCTTTTAGAGCATTTTCTTACATTTATTTGTTTTTCGAATTTTTTTAAAGATTCTCCAATCACGGTATCTGCTGGACCATGTCTCTGCCTGACCAGGTCTCTGCCACACCGGGTCCAAGCCGGGCACGGTCTGTGCCGGACCCGATCTCTCTCTGACCGGTGTCCACCAGACGCGTTCTCTACCATACCCATGTCCGCCGGACCCGGTCTCACTCGAACACCGTGTCCGCCGGACGCGGTCTCTGTCGGACTCGGCTTCTGCCTGTGAGTGACAGGCGGTTCGAGTTTTAAACTCGTAATTTTTCAAAACTTTATTTTTTTAAAAAACTTCAAAATAGTGTGAAATGTCATAAAAACGAAAATAACTAAAGATTTTCGAAATTTTTAAAAATTCTTTTGAAGTTCAAATTGTTCAAAAAGTTTAGTTTTATCAGCTTTTTGAACATTTTTTGATATTTTGAAATTCTTTTAAAGATTTGGAAGTTTTTTAAAAAACTCTACGATCACAGTATCTGCTGGACCATGTTTCTGCCCGACCGGATCTCTGTCACAACTGGTCTAAGCCGGACACGGTCTGTGTCGGACCCGGTCTCTTTGACTCGGTGTCTACCAAACCCGTTCATACACGGTGTCAGGTGCACCCGGTCCCTCTCGGACAACGTGTCTGCCGCTCCCGGTCTGTGCCGGACTAGGTCTCTTTCGGACATGGTCCCTACCGCATCAGATCTATGCAAAACCCGATCTCAGCCGGACCCATTATCTGCCGTATCCGATCTCAGCCGGGCGCGGTCTCTGTCGGAACCGGTTTCTCCCAGTGGTATTGACCAGTGGATCGACTTTCAAATTTCGAAAACTTTTCAAAATTTGGAATTTTTTTAAAATACGTAGATACAGTCCCATATCCAAATCGTATTGCTATTTTATGATTTTATTAGACGATGGAAAACATCGAGCAAAATTTTATTTTCAAAACGCACCATCATCACAATCTTTTAGATTTGAATTACTGTAGTAATAATAAATAAATACACATATAATAAGCACTAATTCAGAATTACGTAAACAATAATATTTTTAAATTTACTTTAGTATAAATTCTATAATATCTTTGTATGTATATTTGTCATTATCTGGATTATTATCTTCCCCGCCATTCATCCATTCGTATTCAAGTTTTGACATCAATTTCTCAAAGTGTTGAGACAGTCGTCGAAAATGTTTGGAAATCATTCACCTGTGATTAAAAAACAATCAGTAAATTATTAAAGGTACTAGAATTGTCGATGTTTGTACTAATTAGTCACCAATACATTTCTTACATTTCCTTGTTGTTTATTTATTTTATTGTTTTTTGTATAAGCACAAGCTATTTATTACTGTAAGAGGGAAACGCTGTGAAGTCAATGTTAAAACTTGGTTTAAATTTTATTTCACATTATGTCCTTGTCAGATGAGAATCTATATTTAGTTTGTGAAGATACAGTGATAAGGAAGTTGAACTGTTGGTAAAAGTGCTTTGGAGTCGAATCCTAATAAGTGGGCAGTGGAGCCTGTCAGATTCAAAGTCTCAAGGGTAAGTAGTCCTAATTACTATTGTCAGGATGTTGAAATCTACTGTCCACCGACCAGGATAAAATCCCTGCTACGAAGTCGATATACGCGCAAGCACAATATTTCGCTGTGAGTGACGAGATGCTATTAGCCATCCTAAAACCATTCGTTCCTCAACCACTGAACAACAAACACCAGGCTTTCGTGTGTTCTAATGGGTATAGCTTTAAGATTACCTCACAGTGGCACAGTGATTTAATCTAAAATATTATCACAACACCCACAGAACACATTACAGGTGCAGTCACTACACGCTACTCTTAACTGCTTGATGTTTTAAGTCCGTGCGTAGTAGCGTAAAACTCTGTTGTGTCACAATTCCCACCAATAGCAGCCCTCTAGTCCACATGATAGGAGACATTCCCCATACACCGCACCAGAACAGACTTACCAGCGGCAGGGATTTTATCTTGGCCGGTAGACAGTAGGAGGTTAGCGTGACCTGAAGATTTAACTTAGAGGAGTCAAATGCATGCAGAATTTTCTTGCATTTGTATTTATTTTTGTCTGAATTTACTTCTAGCCCGACCTTTCTACTAGCTTCAAGTGAAACCTCTCTTTATTCTAATTAGACCGTCACCCAAGAAATTATATGCCAATAGCTGGTGTGTCCCATTCAATTGCAAACCCTCCTACCTATCCTGGTCTTTCCTGATGGCGTATTCTAGTGCAAAGTTAAAGAGCAATGGGGACTGTTTTGGTGGAAAATGAATCAGATAAATATTTAGCTGTATGAATTTTGTTACAGGTTTATTCTAAGTTTAATGTCAAGTTTAATTTAATATTTAACAATAGAATCTACTCTTCAGATTGTAGTAGAATGGTAGATATAAAGAAGAACTGGCAAGTGACATATTTATAGTATTCAAACGCGTAGTCTCAAAATATTTCTGTTAAGAGCAAATATATTTATTTGTTCAGAGATGAAATCATAGCAATTTTCATAGTCCTCGAACGGTATTCCTGATTCTTTATATGTATTTAAATCTCTCCTTAAATGTGTATCCCAAATAACAGTATTAATGCATTAACTTCACTTATCCTTTGTTTTGACGTGATGTTAATGATAATATGTAAATGGCATTAGGATTAAAGGGTAATAAATTTGGAAAGAAAGTGACATCTTTAATTTCAGAAGAGGTGACTTACGTAGTTTGCAAATTACGTCTTTCAAACACCAATGAGCGTCTTAGAAATTTGATTCTTGTATCTTAACTATTAATGTCAATATGAAATGGTTCTTTTATTCAATCTATATTATCTAAAGTCAGAGTACAGAATCTTACCACAAGAATGACCAGATCAAAAAAAAATCATGCAGACTGAATGCATTTGCGCTTGAAGACCACAATATCCACCATCATTTTATGGCGATGAAAAATATTAATGCCACGATCAGACAGACTGCGACAAAGAACTGATAAGGGGTCCAAAGTTGATGGAGATACACTGTCTCGCGGTAGAAATATGTTATGATTCCTTCTGTTGGTGAATTTTCAAAAACAACCCTGTTAATAAAGACATAAAGAATTTCATTAATCACCAATTGGTTAAGCTGTACTCTTGGGTGGCACAAACAAGATACCTTTTAGTTATAATGCTCTTGCATGTATTTAGGCCCATATATAACATTGTTCAACAGCCAAAATATATCGGTGATGAAACTAACCCATTTTTACTAATTTTTAGCTGCTAAATACGAGAATGACATTCATTTTGTATGATTGTTTCCCATTTCGAAGATATTCATACCAAGCTGTTTCGCTCAATTTTCGTCATTTTCAGATTTGTAACGGACTACTTACTTCAGAAACAGCCTGTACAAGGGTGGAGAAGGTTTTGTTATTTCCTGCAGGTCTAGTCAAGGGATGTTTAATAAATTGGTTCAGTTGTCCTTGTGGTTCTGTTTGGCAAACAAGTGTTTTGTGGGTTGCGGAGTTTGTGTTTCACTTCGTCTTAGAATTCTTATGTAGTAAACAGCAAAAACGTCGTTGTGAGTACTTAAATGAGAAATTTGTAACACTGAAATATACAAAATGTCGCGTAGATGTGTCAATAATCCTAACAACTTTTGTTATATCTGTGGAGAAGTGACTTTTAAATCACAAAAACCAAACTCGACCCCCATCGTTAAGAGAGCGAACCACCTTTATTTTGGTTGCAAAGTGGGTGACATGGACAGGGCGTGGGCACCCCATATTTGCTGTCTGAAGTGTTCTATAAATCTACGTGAGTGGCTAAAAGGAAAAATGCAAGCTATGCCCTTCGCTGTGGCGGGAACCGGATAACCACGTAAACGACTGCTACTTCTGTATGATTCCTCCTGTCATCGGCATAAACAATAAGAAAAAACATACTTTGATCTATCCAAATATCCCCTCAGCCATTCGTCCTGTACCCCACAACCATGAACTACCTGTACCTGTCCCTCCTATTTCCTACACACCTGAAGAATGCTCACCGTCACTACCATCAGATGACGTCATTCCTAGATCATCGGCATCTCAAGATAAAGAGTTACCTTCTACATCTGACAGAGTAACTCAAAGTAAACTGAATGATCTAGTGAGAGATTTATACTTGCGACATATTATGAACAGGATCCTTCCATCCTTTTTCTCGGACTGGGACCTGTTCATATATGTTCTTGGCAGATGATCCAGAAGTGGTTTGCCATTGCCTTCTTCTGTGTGTGAATGGAGTAATTGTTGGGATGCCACGGAGGAAAACTCCGTGTTGCCTAGACCACGGCCTTGCCCAACAAAAGTTAAAAATTCGGGCACCGCCGGGAATCGAACCCGAGACCCCAGGATTACAAGGCCAGCGTTCTAACCGCTAGACCACCGTGGCTACAAGTAATGGAACGTACTTGAAGAAAATATTAAAATATCCTGTTATCGCGTTTGTCAGATTCCTTTACACAATTTTTTTACATGCAAGATGATCTCGTGTTTTGTGTTGACGTAGTTGGTCTTATGGATGCCCTGCATAAAGAACATAACCCAAATGAGTGGAGGCTTTTATAGATTCCTCAAAAGTCAGCTTGAAAGCAGTGTTATTGCACAATGGCAATCAATTACCCAGTATCCCTATAACTTGTAGCTCATGCGGTTCATATGAAAGAGACATACGATAATATTAAACAATTAATTAACAGGGTGAATTATGACAAATATGAGTGGTGTATACGTGCAGATTTAAAAGTGGTGGCTATCATACTATGTCGTCAGCAGGGTTACACAAAATATTGCTGCTTCCTGTGTGAGTGGGACAGTCGTGCAAGGAATATACATTATGAAAATAAACAGTGGCCCCTTTGACAGAACTTGGAATCAGGTACTCAAAATATTGTCAGTGAACCACTGGTAGATCAAAGCAAAATAATACTGCCAGCATTACACATTAAATTGTGTCTGATGGAAATTGTTGTAAAAGGAATGGACCGAAATGGAGAAGCCCTTAGGAACCTCTTTCACAAATGTCGCCGATTAAATAAAGCTAAAATCAAAGAAGGAGTTTTCGTAGGTCCCCCCAAATAAGAAGTTTGTTGATGAACATTTTGTTGACATTTTCACGGGAGATGAGAAAATTGAATGGGAATCCTTCAAGTCAGTTGTTTATAATTTTCTTGGAAACAACAGGGCGCCAAACTATACGGAATTAGTAGACAAATTGTTGAAAGCATACAGTAAAATGGGGTGCATTATGTCTCTTAAAATGCATTTCCTCCACTCTCACTTGGACTTTTCCCCTGATAATCTTGGATCGGTTAGTGATGAACATGGCGAACGATTTCACCAAGATATTTCTACACTTGAAAGGCGTTATCAGGGGAAATGGAGAGCATCAATGATAGCTGATTACTGCTGGTCGGTGGTAAGAGATGCCTCTGAGGAAAAATACAGAAGGCCAAAAAACAACGTCTATAAAGTAGATGCAAATTTTTAAAAATTTGCGTATCATATGGACGAATTTATATGTGATATTTTACAAAGTATAAAATACTAA